AAAAGCAAATTCTGTTTACATTTCGTCTTTATATTTGAATATATGTGTATATGTGGCTATATATATATGTATATGATACCTATATATCATGTACCTCCAGCTATTCGACTGCAGCCTTATAAATTGCATTGGGTAAAGTAAACATTTTGTTTTCTTTATCTGGAGTGTATTTTAATGAGCTGTGAGAAAAGATTTTAACGCAACTGAATTGTTGAAAGATTTTAGATTTTAAATAAATATTGAAAATACTTATAAGATATCTGTTTAATAACTATATATTTTAAAATAACTATAGATATATTTTATATGTTATAAAACATTTAAAATAAGTGTTTAGTTTTTTATTTTTGATTATAATTAAATAATTATAATTTCCAAAAAATATTTTTGTTTGCAGTGCCTTTTTCCGGTTTTCTTCCCTCCTAAGCAAATAACAAAAACACAAACACCATGGACGCCATCAAGAAGAAGATGCAAGCGATGAAGCTTGAGAAGGATAATGCCATTGATAAGGCAGATACCTGCGAGAATCAAGCTAAGGATGCCAACTCCCGCGCCGACAAACTCAATGAGGAGGTGCGCGACTTGGAGAAGAAATTTGTTCAGGTTGAGGTCGATTTGGTCACCGCCAAGGAGCAGCTGGAGAAGGCCAACACCGAATTGGAGGAGAAGGAGAAACTGTTGACCGCCACGGAATCCGAGGTAGCCACCTTGAACCGTAAGGTGCAACAGATTGAGGAGGATTTGGAGAAATCTGAGGAGCGCTCAACCACCGCACAACAGAAGCTGTTGGAGGCCACACAGTCGGCCGATGAGAACAACCGTATGTGCAAAGTATTGGAGAACCGTTCCCAGCAGGATGAGGAGCGTATGGATCAGTTGACCAACCAATTGAAGGAAGCTCGCATGCTCGCTGAGGATGCCGATACCAAGTCCGATGAGGTCTCCCGCAAGCTGGCCTTCGTTGAAGACGAACTCGAAGTGGCTGAGGATCGTGTCCGCTCCGGCGAATCCAAGATCATGGAGCTGGAGGAAGAACTGAAGGTTCATACAACACATCAAATCCTATTCCTAAGATACTATAAAACACTTTACCTTCAACATAGGTTGTCGGCAACTCGCTGAAATCTCTAGAAGTGTCCGAGGAGAAGGCCAACCAGCGCGTTGAGGAATTCAAGCGTGAGATGAAGACCTTGTCCATCAAGTTGAAGGAGGCCGAACAGCGCGCCGAACAGGCTGAGAAGCAAGTCAAGCGCCTGCAGAAGGAAGTCGACAGGCTAGAAGGTATGTCAATCTTTAATCGAAATATAATTCCCAACTATGTATATCTACTCAAACGAAATCGGTACGCCAATGAGATGCGCGTGCACCTGCCCTATACGATATACGATATACGATATGTAAATATCGCATTCAAGTTCTAAAAACTCAAATGCAGCTTCAACTAATGCGAACAGTCTATATCTACTTATATCTTATACTATAATGTACATATGTTGATTGTTGGTTATCCACAATAATACACGCTGCTTTTATTAATTGTACATATGTAATATAATTATAAAATAAACAACAAATGCTTTTTGCAGACCGTCTCTTCCATGAGAAAGAAAAATACAAAGCAATCTGCGACGATTTGGACCAGACATTTGCTGAACTTACTGGATATTAAAAACCAAACAAGAAAAACCAATTGCCAAACAGTTCCCATAATGACATACACACACACTGACATACGTCCAAACACACACATATACACGCACATACAGAGACACAAGCAAATGTATTCCCCTATCATATATTGCATTATTCATATTCCCTACTTTTGGACACTGTGCAGATCAGTCACAATTTACACTGTAAATAATTTGTATAGTCTTGTGGTTGCTCTACAACATACCACCCAGCCCTCAAGATACTATTACACTGTAAAAAAAAAAGAAACAGTTCCACTCTCTATATGCCAACTGTAGTTATTTATGCTTTCGAAACAACAGGTGATTTCCATTATCTTATATATATGTATCGAAAACAAAAACAAAATTAATTTCTGTTTAGTGCAAAGTTCTTTTCTTTTGTTTAATGTGGCATGTTCAATTGTCTTGCCTACCCAGACACAAAAAAAAAAAACAAGCCCAACTTTCGACTATACTATCTGTGCAGCGCCCTTGCTGCTCATATCTCATTATTTAGACTGCAGTTCGGATGGCTTATGCCAAGTCTCTACTTGACAGATGTTGAATACACACTCATGTAGCTCAGTTTTGGGTCATCATTGCACACGTAGAGATTCATGTTCCCGATCCCCACTCTATGAACCTGACTCAGACACAATACGCATTCCCTCTTATGTAATTTAAAAATACTAACTAAAAGAAATATATTTATATAAACGCTTGTCAACGGCGCAAAACTAATATGATATATTAACCAGGCACACTTATTTCTTACAGTGTATCACAGCCAACTGCTGGCAACGTGGCTCAAGATTTATGTTACTTGTGTTCAAATAAATGTTGCACTCTCTGTTTACTGTTTACCCGCGAATATTCTGTGACAATTATTAATATTCCATATCCATTATTCGTTTCACAGACGAGCTGGGCATCAACAAGGACAGGTACAAGTCTCTGGCCGACGAGATGGACTCCACATTCGCCGAATTGGCTGGCTACTAAACATGGCCTCTTGTCCGGACGATAGTAGAGAAAGAAGAAGAAGTGGAACTCAACTAAATGTAAACGATTATCATATTAATATCATTTTGCAAACCAAAACAGAAACAAAAACAAAATACCAAGAACAACATCCTTTGTGTATATCTTTAAATCAAATCTATTTCTAAATAAATAAATAATAACAACAACAACATCGACAACAACAGCAGCAACAACATGCACAAATATCTGAACTCAAGAATAATTTTTTGTATTTTTAAAGTCATGTTTTAAAAATATTAAGAACTCGAGCAGTAACTAACAATCCAAACGCTAGTAGCACGAGAAATAATTAATTAAAAATATATATACAGAGAATGAGAGACAAAGAGAGAGGCGAAGCGAGCTAGAGAGAGACCTAATATTTATCTATGCTGTTAAGAATGATGAATGGTTGAAAATTTGAAATTTTATAATATATTAAAGAAAAAACCCAGAAAATACGAAAAAAAAAACTATATAAAAAATTTATAAAAAATACAAAAAAAAATTATATGTTGATGTTTGCTTTGATGAGAACTTACAACTTATTTTCTTTGCATGGAACAGAGCTCTCAATTCTTTATTATGGGACAATTCACTTTTATTTGAATTAATCTTAAAGGGAAAGAGGTGCTAAAAGGTTTTGTAAATCTTAAGCAGAATCTAGGGGAATCCAAGGTCAATGCTTTCAAGGCCAGGGCCAGAGAGAGTTTTCGAATTTCCTAATCGAATGATACAGTTTTATATTAACATCTAAGAAGTCAGATGTTGATAAAGCCACATATTTTATTTAAAATTTAGACTGAATTTGGATTTCTACGTATAGCTTGAGAAACGTCTGCCGCAGCTATTCATAAGGTTTTGAAGCGATGCAAAACACGTTGGGAAAACCCCTTCATACAAATAAATAAATACAGAAAAAAAAAAAACCAAATGCGTCATCGAACCGGACCAAAGTCGAGAAGAGACCTTCGTTGCAACACGGTTAAACTGATGGCTAATAAGCAGTCAAAATAAGTCGCAATGAAAGTCAATTTGAGCATGTTGATCAGCTCAGGGCAACCGATCCAAAATAATTTCATATGTCTCTCGAGAGCAATTACTGTCATGTGGGCAGATCGAGAAACACGCTCCACGACTCACGGATGCTGGTCGCATTCATCTTGGACCGTTCGCCTCTAAAGTCATCAATGAGCGAGCGGCAAATCAATGGATTAATCAAGCTTTAATGATATGCAAACTGGCTCAAACCCAACTGCCATTTCTTTGAAAGCCAACTTTGTGGAAATGATTTTTGAATAGTCATGACAAACATAAATTATCAATAATTTTATAGCATAAGTCGAAATACAATTTTTTTATTTTAATAATCAAGCTGTAAACAAAATAACAGGTTACATAATTTTCAAAAATAAAACCTAAAATTCTATATTTATTTTATACTTAAAGTATTTTTATATAAATATGAGTCTTGGCTACAATTTACCAAAATAAAAAGGAAAAAAAAAAAACAATTTATTGAAAAAGTATGGGAAATTTAAATAAAGTAAAAGGCATTAACCATATATTTAAAAAGGTAATACCATAATTTGTATTAAAAAATACAACACAGTTGAAATAGCTCATATGACATCTATACTAAATGTAAATTTGATATCTAAACAAATTTTGGAAATTCCAAATAAGATTCGTATATTATATTTGAGCAGTTTTTCATTTATCAAGCTTTGAATAACTCTAAAATATTACTTATAACGTATTTTTTTTTGGCCAATTATAAAGACGATTTATGATCACTTATTGTATTAAAATCATACTTGAGATTCCTTCATATGAACAATTATTACCGTTTTAAGAGTAAATAAATAAGACTCAGTTGCCCAGTAGCCGACTTTTCGATAATAAGTAAGGTTAATTAATTTGTATTTACCAATAAACTGGAGTAAACAATTAAAACGCACTCGCATTGAGTTTAACAACAATGCCGAAAAAGGCGCCGCCGTCAAATAGACTTTAACAATACAAACAAACAGCGGCAAACCCAATGACTTACATTCGTGAAGAGCGTCGGAGAAAGTGAAATTTTGCATTTAACGCAGGTAAAAAAAAATAACTGAATAAAATAACCGCGCCATGGTCATGACAGAGCCAGCCCCAACCACAGCGCCAATTGAAACTCAGTCTCAGTCTCAGTTTGAGTTTGAGTGGCACAAGAAGCGGACGCGACTCTTAGAAACCGAAAGTGTTTTTCATTTTCTTTTTCGATTTTATTGCATATTGTATTTTTTGTGATTATTATTCGTTTGGAGTGTGAGTGGAATCTGTAAGCAAACATTACATGTCGGTAAAGAAACTAATGGTGTGTCGTCATGTCTGCATATGGCTCATATGTCTGGGCCTTTGCCCCGGGTTATGCAAGCCGGACGGCAGTGAAACTATGCAAAAATACGCAAATGAATCGCTGACGGACGGCTCCAGTTGGTCACAATTTCTCGAAGATTATGTGCTAAGGTGTGTGTGTGCGTGTTAGTTGGTGATTCAGGTGGATGATTATATTAAACTTGTGTCAATTTGTAGCCAGAGCAGCAGCCAACGTATGTCGAAGGATCTGGCTTATATGGGCGGCGATATGAGCGGACCCATTAATTATCATTCCTCGGCATATAAGCGACCGGGCAACAACATTTATATTACTCGCCGCATTGGTGAGGCGGTGGAGCTAGAGCCGCATCTTCGGGCGCCGGTAGAAAGCCAAGGCCCGATTGTCAATCCACAGTTTCGGCCCATGACAAACCAAATGTTGCACCAGCAGCAGCAACAACAACTACAGCAGCAGCAGCTACAACAGCGCCAGCAACCCGGTTTCTTGCAACAGCTCTTTGGTTTCGGTAACTCTGAGCCATCGCCGCCTCAGGCGCACCTGCGGCCGGTGCCGCTGCAGCAGCCATCGCCGCCCCATTCGCAACAGCAACAGCATTTGGCGGCACATGGCAATCCGCCCAACACATTCCGAGCCGTCTCTGAAAACGATTTGTATTTGCTGGGCGCCATCGAGAAGCTGGTCTATCGTGTTGGTAAGAAGAGAATAAATACAAATACATATAAATTAAACAGCTAGTTAGGATTATTGGAGATGTTTTAAATACTACATTTCTGTATATATATATCTATATTATTTATTA